AGCTCATTGAGACGGCATATCTTTCATGATATCCCCAGCTCTACCCATACGAAGGTACGAGGCACACGCGGTTGGAGGAAATTAAAGTACTTGATTAAAATGGGTCAAATGTTCGCAAAAATATAGTAGCAACGAGCCTTCTCAAGGGCATAGGCGCGATAACTCTTAACTGTATTGGAAGTTTTTCCAAATTTGATTGCCCATTCTCAGGCTACAATAATAGGTTTGAGTTTATTTGTGTTATGCAGGGGCTAAAAAGCAATTGAAGAACTTAAAATACAATTAGTACAAACAAGAATAGAGGATTATTACTTATTCGGAGCTTAACTCTCCAAATGTTTCTTGAAAATTATGAATACAAAATCAGTAAAAAAAAAGTGTAGAAATAATTTAAAAAACCTAAAATTTAAATTTTAGACATCTTATTAAAAAGTCACCCAAGCATTACCTCAACAACAACAATTCCATATACTTCAACCAGCTTCTTGATTTAAATATTAGCTTCTAGAAATTCACTTCCGCAATTATAATCTTATTTGTATACATATGTATATACATACATATATATTTTTATACAAGCGAAGAGCTACGCCATATTTTCGTCAGTTAATATTGTCTTGTTTCCCTTTATGCAAAAGAATAATGAAAAAAGAAGTATGACAGTCAAAATTTGCCATTACTTGCAAAATATATTAGGTTCGTTACCCAAGGTTATCCGTAACAGCAATAAATAAAATAAGGAGATAGAGATATGAACACGATGCATTTGAAGCACAAACATATTTCTTGATTCACAAGGAAATCGCACGAGAACAAGCCTACCATCCACATAAAAGTTACTCCGATATGTACAAAAATCGCGGTAATTGCAGAGTCTGTAAAGCCTTAGAGTCAATTTTAGCAACGATAACGATACTAGTGGAAGGCAAACTCTAATAGTTGGAAAAAATAATAATAACGTGGTAAGCATCAGGCAAAATATAGTTTGGGTATTTAATGCTCGGTTCCACCTGAAGTTCGCCTTCCTTACTTGCTTAACTTCTTTTTCCATTTTGCGCTCAAATTTCTACTCGCTACTCCCACTTCAAATTGAAATTTACTTTAGCTTTACAAATTCCTTTGGGCCCGAAGCGAAATAACAAAGAGAATTACATTCAAGACTTTTATCCATGAAAGCTTCATTGCCTTCTTTGACCTTACTTTGGATTTTACTCTTCCACAACCACACACACACACACACGCACATACATATATAAATATCCGGCACTTTTTCGCTGAGATTTTCGTCTCCTTTCACTTATGTTTCGTGTGTTTGTGTGTGATTTGTCGAATACTCTTAGTTCCACGGCGATGAGTGCAAAGTCCTTCTTAAAAGTTTTGTGTAGTGGACGCAGATAAATGAGTCAAGTTGCTGCTCGAAGCTTATTTCTTTACCTACTAACTTTTTAACATTCATTGTGTTGTTGTAATAGCACATTTTTGCAAATATTTGTTGTTCCATTGTATGGTGTATTGTTTGATTTAATATTGCCGCCACTGAGTATTTTCTTTGTACTCTTCTTTTGCCTCCTTCTCTTCGGCTGTTATTATTGTTGCCGAGTTTCTTCCGAACGAACTTGGCTACCGAATTAAAGCGAACACTCTTATATTGTATATATTCAGCGAAAATGAAAACTTCACAGACTAAGACCGGCGCATAAAGAACAAAGGAAAATAAATAGTTTACATCCAAAAGAAAGAAAAATTAACTATGCCTTTAACGATGACCCTGACGAAACGGAACGAGTGTAAGGTGAGATGCAGCGTGTGCAGCGCAATGACATGGAGACGGACTCTTTCAACGTTTGAAGATGTAACAGCAGACGTCTGCTTTGTTCTTGCTTTAGTTGCCTTCATGCTTAACATTTTTCTTAGATTTTCTTAGATATTTTGGCATGACGAGCAGAATGTCAACGTAGACGAAAAATGCTAACGATTCGAGAGCCTGCAGAAGAGCATACAACGCTCTTGTTAACGAATAGCCGCCAAACATGATGACAATAACAGCAACAATCACAGCCACGACATAGCCAGGCGTTTAAATTGGCTTCAAAGTTAAAAGTGGCAAGGAAAGGTGTCAGAAAGTTTTTCACTTTAAAACAAACAAAAGCAACGAAATGGTTTGACCTCCCTGAAGTATGCTAAATATAATAAATTAAGTTTAGTTATTTTTGCAGTGAAATTTTCTTGTTGACACCGCATAGGGAAATGTGAAGAAAAATTTGACATTCAAATAATGGCACAGAACAGAAAGTTTAAGAAAAAATTAAAGTTCCCCCAAATGATTAATAATTGTCAAAACTTGAAATTATATTTTTTTTAGTTTCATAGAAGCTGTAATATAATGTAACTGTAGATCCCTCGATTTGTTGGAAAAATATCAAGATACATACATAGCAAAAATTGGAAGAGGAAAATCGCTTCAGCGATTTTAAGACTCCATTAATATAATATATCCCAGAAACAGTTAAATCACGGGTTTTTTTACAATCATACCGACAGAAGAGGAGGGAGCCGGATATGCAAACAAATTACTGAAGTTACCTACACAGAGTTAATCGAGTAAATACTTCTTCAGCTTACTGATTTGCCGTTAAAACGAGGCACCTGGAGATCACAAACTCGAGCAGACCGATTCTCCAGACGACAATTTTTGAAAAAGATCGCCGGGAAAAGAATGTACGATTTTAGGCCAATCTGTGATGGCCTCCATACACATAGGCATTAAAATTAAAATTAAAATTAAAATTAAAATTAAAATTAAAATTAAAATTAAAATTAAAATTAAAATTAAAATTAAAATTAAAATTAAAATTAAAATTTGGATTACTTTTTACTACACCTTATTACGTTGACTATTCAGGTTTTTTTGGAATACACTACATTTTACAGTTCGTTCATTGAACTCAAATAAAATTATATCAGGCGCTGTACATTTATCAATTTTGATTGCGCCGAATCGCACTCACTAATCCAAAATTTGAGACGAAAATAAAGTTAAAATATGTTTTACAACTATAAATATAAAAACAAAGCATTGCGTACTGCCATTCGGAAGGCTCGAGCTCAAATCCTGGTGTCGCACTAACACCCAAAAAGTTATAGAAAACTCTAAACTCTAAAATAAAATATTAACATAAATTTTCTAATTGTGGTCGGCCCCCGGCAGGGAATTTCAACCCCTTCGAGTGTATTTATGACATGAAATAAACCTCCTCATAGAAAACCATCAGCCGTTCAGAAGCGGCTTAGTATAAACTGTACGTAGATCCATCGATTTGTTGGAAAAACATTAAGACGAAAAACCACAAATTAGAGGAAGATATATATATATATATAAATACTACAAATGTAGTATTTATGTACATGCTCAGTACATATTTACTGTATTTTAAAACTTCAAACGAGGCAAAAAACTACAATAATATGTAATGAAATTCCTAAGCAACAAATTAAATGTGGCAGACAAATGCAAAACACTTGACAGCTATCCACATGTCTTTCTTTCATTTACTTGCCATCCTTTGTGCTGACTGTTGCATTCCCTTTGCGGTGAGTAGCTGGTGGAAGGGATGTGCTGGGGTAGATGGGTGGCCATGGCAAACGAGCTGTTGCAATATTGCATACCCCCATATTTACCTCTGCCATTGCTTGCGGAAGCATGGAAAACGCTCTGAGTGCAGTGAAATAAATATTTTGGTTTCTGCTTTATAGAAACGCACAACAGCTTGTCACAACTGCCACAGGAGGCACCTGTGGTGCTTGTGCAACGTCGTGCAACGAGAAGTGCGTGCAAGGAAGGCGAAAACGGAAACGGAAGCGGAAGAAAACGACTAAAAATGCAAATACGAAACATGTTGCATGGAATTTAAGTTGCACGCATTAAGTTACGTGCAAAGGCAGTCGTTTGACGGTCCTTAGCAAGAATGTGCCCTCGGTATGCTTATGTCAGTTCGTACGAATGTATGCAGATATATATGTACAGCGAGTGTATGGCACATTGCCACATGCTGTTTCCTTTGTGCACCCGCTAACCGTTAGGCAATAAATTACTATGAAAAAATGCAAAATTAACAAAATTTTATCATTCTTTGGGATAAAAATGCAACGCAAAGCACATTTGTTGATGCATAAGTTTACAAATACATATATTTGTACATACAAACATATTCCTTTACATTTATACAGATTTATGCACATTACTTCTGCTGAAATTAACTTGCGTTGCTGCTGCTGAACTTTTGTAATTTCCTGCAACAGAATAAAAATTACTCAGTTAAATAAATTTAAAAAAATCATAGTTTAAGTTCGCGTTATGGAAATTATGTCATTTGCTCAGGGTATTATTATCAATTTATTCCATGCTAATGGAGTTTGAAGCCATAGCAATGCCCCACGCCCATTTCCCCTTGATACTTTCGCATCAACGTTTTAAATTTACTTAATTTAAGAAGTCACCGGTCGCACTCCGGCAGAGAATCCCAACCCTTCCGTCGCAAAAATCCATCAGCCGCTCGGAGCCGGATCAACATGTTAGTCACTCGACGAAATCAAAAAAAAAAAAATCTAACATCATCAAACTCTGACTAAGTTGAGCCTTTGTTGAGAAGAATACCCAAATCTTCTACGTAGTTGGCTTTAGATAGGAATATTCACCTTCTACCCAGCTGGTTGACATCGCCGTTTCCTGGGATGTCCCTATTACCACGGGCGTTTCGCATACAGATAGATTTCTCTGCACCTTATCGCCAACTTTGAGGTGGTGTGACCGAATAGGAGAGATTTAATAATAAACTGGCTGTCACACTATGTTGTAATGGGCTTAGGTAGCGTATTGGAGATGAGTCTCTGCCACTTCGAGCTCACGTCATCTACTGTTAGGAGAATAATAAAATGTATTTAAGCTTATAATATTCCGCAATCAATTATTTATCACCTTTGCTGATTAATATAATTTGAAATGCCTTTTCTTAAACACTCCTTTTTATTTACAACAAGAAATTTACATTATTTCTGGATACAACACATTTTCCAATAGCACATGCAAAGGCAAACGAGACTGTACATTTGTACGACTAGCACATCTACCGCCGACAGATTTCTTCCAATGTTTTACGTTTCCACAACTGCATTTGCTTGACGGCCAAGGAGAGCTGCATCAGATTGACACGACCATCAGCTTCAGTCAGCGACTTGCGCAGATGTCGCATCACACGGTTCATCCGTCGATCGCGAGCTGTGTAAACATAGCCGGCGTTTCGCGCTTTCTCAATATAACAATATTTATCAATAAGTGGCATACGAGACCACACTGCTCCCGCTTCGGTGGCTGTCATCCAGGCTGGTGATCGACGATTGCATACACGTCTGTATTCGCTCAAAAAGTGCATGAATGCATTTCGGCTATACGAAGCTTTGGTACCTGATGACGATGTTGTCGCTTGATCTGAGGAACTTACACAGCAGGCTTTAACCATTGTCTTTGGCAATTTGTTTTTTGTATTTAAAGAGAGAGTTGGACTTTTTCAATTACTAATAAAATTTAAATATTTATAAATTATAATTTTTTTATTTTCTATATTCCTTCACTTATACTCAAATTTATATTGAATTCTTGTCATTTATTTGAAGTCTAATGCTACAGAATTTGTCATAAGAATCGTAAACACCAGGGAAATAATATTATATTATAATATACATATGTACATATAATATATTGGATGAGTGCATAAGTTCGTGCCCGATTTCAAGTGCAAACTAAAATTGAAATTTTTGGAGGAAAGCGCTGTTATTAATCAATTATGTATTCGCCATCATGTTCGGCAATCTACTCCCAACGTTCAACCAATTTACGGATGTTTGATTCATAGAAATCGCGCGGTTGTCAAGGTGGTTTTTGATGTCTTCCACATTTTTAACAGCGATCGAAACAAATGATAATCAGAAGGTGTAATGTCAGGTGAATATGGGGGATGCGGCATGATTTCCCAATTCATCTCCTTCAGTTTGGCCAGAGTCGGTTTTGCAACATGTGGCCTGGCGTTGTCATGATGGAAAAGAACTCCTTTGCGATTGGCCAAAATCGGACATTTGTCATCAATTGCTTTCTTCAATTCTTCAATTCGACCAATTGCTGACAATACTTGTTGGCAGTGATCGTTTCTCCAGCTGGCAAGAGCTCAAAATAGATCACGCCTCGGATATCCCACCAAATGCACAGCAGTACCTTCATCGGATGCAATCCACCTTTCGACATCGGTTCCGCCCCTTCGTGTGCCTGTTTCCATGTTCTTTTGCATTGAACATTGTTATACAGGATCCATTTTTCATCACCATTCACGAGCCGATCCAAAAAAGGTTCGTTTTTAATCTGTCGAAGCAAAGAAATCGCTGCTGACATACGGTCCACTTTGTTTTTTTTTTCACTCAACTGATGTGGCACCCATGTATCGAGCTTCAAAGTGTACCCAACCTTTTTTAAACGACGAAACGCAGTTGATTTCTGACGTTCAATTCACTGGCAACCTTTCCGTCGAAATACGTGAGTTATTCGCAAATAAAGTCCTTAGAACATCGTCATCAAGCTCAGAAGGCCGTCCACTGCGAGGTTGATCTTCGAGGTTAAAATCTCCAGAACGAAGTTTCGCGAACCATTTCTTTACTGTGCGGAGTGCTGGAGCACGGTCCAAATAAACTTCGCGAATATCTTTAGTTGCAGCGCCTACTGTTTTTCCTTTGTGGAATTCGTATAACATAATATGACGCATATGATCTTTTTCGTTGTTCATCTTCCATGCGTCTTTTCACCAAGCAACTCAAATCAAAATGAAGTTATTTTGGGCTTGATTTACAGTTCGGACTGTCACCTTTCCAACGATATATAATATGTATATATTTCTTTCACGAGCGCCACTCTCAAACGATTCGAACGGCATTCAGCGGAATCGGGCACGAACTTATGCACTCATCCAATATTAAGTCATCATGGTAGGGAACGTGCTCTGTTAATAAATAAAAAATATGAAAGACTTTATCCAATAGAACTTTCGTATGTGTCTTTTGCATTTCGAACTTTAGTGAAATTTAATTTCGTTAATTTAGAAGTAGTAAATAAATAAGAGTGTTAGGGAGGATGTCGATTAGTGCCTTTGGTCCAATCTCTTGATATTAGCATCATTCACGCCCAGCAGGGCGAGTGTTGACTGAAATTCCTCTAAGTTCGGTCAGCAGAATGAAATGGCTTTTGTACAAAAAAATATACATAAAAGGCTATTTAAAAATTCAAAAAATAATAAAATGAATTACTCGGAGAACTCTATAAGGGAGAAGTTATCTATGAAATTTCAATCTGAGGCAGTCTTTCATTTTCCGTAAGCAATTTTAGTCTTAAAATTTGTTTTCAAAAATATACTCATAGACTCCTTAAATGGAAGATAGTACTAGACGGGTGTGTAAACTGACGTTAAGCAACTTTAAAACTTCCATCAGGATCAGGAAGAACCCCTCCGAGGCGTTTTATACGAAAGGAGGTTCTAGACAGGAAAAAATTATGAGAGTTGCTGAGCTGAACAAAGAATGCTGATGGCCTACGCCGATGATATTGACATTATTGGCCTCAGCAACCGCGCCGAGAGTTCGACCTTCTCCAGATTGGAGAAAGAAGCGAAGGACAACGAACAATCAACGCATTCGCGACTCGGCTCTCATGTCACTGTTGACAGCAATAACTTGGAAGTCGTCTATCTTGGCACTACTATTAACACCAATAACAATGTCAGCTTGGAAATCAAGCGCAAGCTCACTCTTGCCAACAGGTGCTACTTTCGATTGAGTAGGCAACTGAAATGTAAAGTCCTCTCTCGACGAACGAAAACTAGATTCTGCAAGCCACTCATCGTTCCTGGCTTGGTGCTAAAGATGACTAGATGGGAAACTCTTTATTTCGTGAGAGCGCTCAAAAATCCGCATTTTCTATAATATTTCTGAACAGTTCCACTGTTGTAGAAAATTGAGGTATATTTTGGGTATTTTATTACAAACAACGACGTCTTTAATTAAAATTTCACTAAAAAATGTCATTGAGAAATAATTCAATATTTAATTATATTAAATTTTAATAATAAAATTACAATAATTTCTTTAATATTTAATACTAAAGCGAATTTCTTTTAAAACAAAAACTATAGATTTTTTTATTGACATAGTGGAACTGGTCCATTTTCTTGAATGCTCCCCGATCTGACACTGCTGCCAACATTAGAATGTGAGAAAGGGGAACGCTCTCAGTTGCAATTTGAGTGATTTTGAGTAAGTTTCGTATCTAGTCATCTTTGTTGGTGCGGAAGCATGGACGATGGCAATATTTGATGAATCGGGGTTAGGAGTTTTCGAAAGAAAGGTTTTTTAGTAAAATTTATGACCCTTTAAGCATTGGGAACGGCGGTACGAGATACACGGCGACATTGACATAGTTCCATTGAAGGACCAATTTTTTGGATACTCATCAAACATTAAATATTCCTTTCGAATTTGGTATTCTCCCAGATAAAAGGCCTTTAAACACGTTTTTGTTTTTTCAACTGCCTGTTAACAGGCAATTAAAAAAACGGCACTAAATTTCCAAAGTTTATTGATAGTAAACTCACACGGTGGAAAACATTAACACATTGGGCACATATTAAGGATCTTAGATGTGGAAAGCATGTTTTAAACAAGACAAGGGCGTATAATAGTCATAAGAACTAGTTACAAAGAGAGATAGAGAGAGAGTTCTCACGGACTGAAGAAAACAGGACAATACGCAATATATTAGACGCAGACATAAAAAATTAATTTTTGAAATTAGTGATGCAAGTGTTCACTTATTCTATTCCCCTTTTATTATACTGCAATGTGCTAATACAGCGCAGAAAGATGAATTAAATAATTCATTTGAAATTTTGAAATTTTTTGGATACTTTTTTTTTGGCATTGATCTGTTTATTAACAATACTAAAAAAAAAATTAATAACACATAATGATCATTATTGCTGAATATGGAGTTACATTGAAGTGGTTGCTGGGTATTTGGACACTTAGGCCAAACCAATGTGGGAAGGCAGCAAAACAGAGAAATTGATCCATCTTTGAACCCACTAAACATCCCAAGCCTCTAAAGGTTCCCTCCACTACAAACTTCAGCCTTCTGCTCCAGAGGTGCAAGGCACTCGCAGGAGAAGTGTCTTAAGGTTTCAAGCTATACCACCTCTCTACAACTGCTCCAGAAGTCGTTAGATGGTACGCAAAGTCTCTCTGCGTGCCTGCCTAATAAATGATGTCCAGTGAAACATCCCATCATTATGGATACCTTCTTCCTTTTCGGTTTTCTTTTGGCATATGTCCGTATTATTATTGAAACTGAGAATGCTTCTTATCGGTGCTTAAGAATTTCCAAAAGTAAAATTTTATACTAATTTTATTTGTCGCAAAAAAGTTGACAGAGAAGAAAACGAGTAAAAATATCCATTTTGAGGTAGTGCTTTGATTACTAATTAACTAGATGTACGAAAATCCTATAATGTAAATGTAGTTGTCTTGTGATGAGTTTCCTAGGAGAACTACACTAGTAAACCATAATGATTTTTTTAGTAAGCCACCAATAGTGGTCTTGAAAGGTTGCCAGTTTGGTATATTTCAGTCCAGTACGATATCAGCTGGAAAAAGTTATCTTCGAACCATTACCTTTGACATTTCCTCACGGGTACTTACCTGGCATATGCTACGTCTGTTCTGTAAGCACATACAAGTATATACTACGAGTACATGTGTAGCAGGTTTATGATCCGAAGGCATCGCCTAATGCGCTCAATTGACACGTTGACATTCGACGCCAGCATAGTGGCCGACAGGGCTGCCAGTTAGGGTGGGGCATAAAATGTATGACGTGCATCGACAAGATGTAATGACAATACGAGTAGCTGATTGAAGTTAGCTGCGTCAGTTGAGTTCACACAGCCTCCTTGTGGTCCAACTGACTGACACACTTTGACGTTTGTTTGATGGATGCGTGTACGTGTCGTCATAACGATGTCAGTGTTGTCGTTTTGCTGTTATGCTGTTGCCATCACCGTTGCCATCAATTCCGCCACTGTTGCTATTTTATTCAAGGAGCTGCACGTCTCGACCAGTATGTGTCATATGTGTCTAAGTGAAATTTAGAGAAATGTGCAATATTCTTTTCGCGTAATATTGAATTTGCCCCATTTTTGTTATTATTATTCCTGTTTTTGTTGCTGTTGTTGTTTTCTTGTATCAGCCAACTTAGGAATAAAGATGAAATATGGAATTTCTAACGCGTTTCGCACATACGCTCATGCGAGCTTTTCTTTTTAACTGAAAACACATGCGGCCACAAACATACTGTACATATGTACCGTTAGTTGTATTCATTTGTAAGCATCTTGTGCGACGCCATCAAAGTCAAATGACGGGAGCAACGGAACTTATGACAACGTGTGTGTCCATCAACAACCATCCGACTTTCCACACAACTCAAGTACGCACAGTGGAGCAGCGTAGCAGCTTGCATGCAAGCAGATGTGCGCTCA